CTTTATGAAAGCAGCATACTGCTCTCAGATTGTTGTGCCACTGAGGGAGCAAACGCTGGTTCTTGATGCACTTACGGGTTCCCTGTTCAAACCACTGGAGACAACTCAACCTTACACTGTAAGTGCCAGAGACATTTTACAGGAATGAGAATCTGGGACACTGCAGGTGCTTCTACAGCAGCAGGGCTGTGTACCTGCTAACTCCCTTGGCCCCTGCAGGTGTGTCTGAATAGGGCTCCAATGAATCATTTACCTATAAACACAGAATTATTCAGGATGTGAATACATTTGCATGGAATTGGCAACTTTACAATACATGTAAAACTGATTTATATATTCATAATGTAATATATATTTCAATCTCATTTTTTGAGCCAATAGCACAAAATATCCAAATATTTTCTAAAATGTATCAAGGATACACATCAAGACTATACACTGTAAATTTTCATTTCTGTCATAATAAAGTAACACACGCTTTGGAATTATAAATGAAAGTGAGGCTCAATCTTGCAACAGAAATAAATGTCACATCACACTTTTCATAACAAAGATAAGGTTGCTGCAAAAATACTGGCTATGGTTTTTCTAATGAATTTTTTTTAGATTTTACAAAAAAGTTCTGTCTTGTATGTACAAATAATTCTGCCTTTTACACAGAGCTTCTTCACGGATGAAGAGATTAACATCTTGAAGAAGTTAAAACTCTATGTAGAGGACAACTGGAACAAGTGCGACATGGTTGCCATCTCCCTCTTTGTCGTTGGGGTTTCATGCAGGTAATTAATATTAAATGACACTGATGACAGTGGAAAAAATGTAATATAACACCCTAGATTTGTTGTTATGATGGTCCAGGCTAGAGCATTAAAATAAAGGAATGAGTAAATGAAAGACTGAATGGGAAGAAGGGTTAGAATGTAATAAACTGCATAGTACGTAAAATCTGTTTTGTTTGATTTTGCAGGATGGTGAACAACACCTATGAGGCAGGAAGGACAGTTCTGGCGATAGACTTCATGGTATTCACTCTACGTCTGATCCACATCTTTGCCATTCATAAGCAGTTGGGCCCCAAGATCATCATTGTGGAAAGAATGGTGACCAAAACAAAACTTAAATTAAACTAAAATTTTAAGTGATGTTAATGATTATAGATGACAATGTAGACCTTGTATTGCCTATTAAGAAGATGAAAACATGTGCCTGTTTCTCCTTTACAGATGAAGGACGTTTTCTTCTTCCTCTTTTTCCTGAGTGTGTGGCTCATTGCGTACGGTGTTGCTACCCAGGCTCTTCTCCACCCCAATGACCCAAGGATTGACTGGGTGTTTCGCAGAGCCTTGTACCGCCCATACCTGCACATCTTTGGCCAGATTCCCTTGGAGGAAATAGATGGTAAATTATATTGGATGAACATTTCTGTATTTATTCAGTGTAAAGAAACTGCGATTTTTAAATGAGTGTTTATCCCTGGAAACAGTGTGACAGTTTGTTGACATGTTTAATGTTATATTGTGATCATTTATGAAATCAGGGATGGATTTCTTTTGGCCTGAATGTTATGTCTTCCTATCAAGTTTTCTTGTTCTTTCATTAAACGTTACACAGCTGCTCGCATGCCTGAAATTAACTGCACCAATGACACAGAAGAGATTATCCTGGGCCTACGGCCGCCATGTCCCAACATCTATGCCAACTGGCTGGTCATCCTGCTGCTGGTTATCTTCCTTCTTGTCACCAATGTCCTGCTGCTCAATCTGCTCATTGCCATGTTCAGGTCAGGGGCTGTGAATCCAGAAAACACATGTTCATGTTTGTTTGTCTGATGAAATGAGTTTAGCCAGTTTGATTGTACATTTTAAAATAAAAAAAACACAAAACGATATGATTGTTTTGTTGATTTTTTTCCCATTTGCAGCTACACATTCCAGGTAGTGCAGGGCAACACAGACATCTTCTGGAAGTTCCAGAGATACAACCTGATTGTGGAATACCACAGCCGTCCAGCACTGGCCCCGCCCTTCATCATCATCAGCCACCTCTCTCAACTCCTTCTCAGCCTTGTCAAACAACCCGAGTCCAAGCAGGAGCATCTTGGTATGAAGATTACATATGGACATTTCCATGAGGAACTATTAAGCCATTATCCCTTATTTCAAGCACATATTTAAATAGTGTCTTGTGGCTTATCTGGCTAAATTAAAATGAAATGAAATACTGGAAAACACAGGGTGTGCTTATCTCTGTCGTTCACCTGCTCTATCCATGGAAATTGCCTGTTGGTTAATTGCTTATTGGAGTGCCTTCTTGTGTGTGTGTTTTTCCAGAGAGAGAGCTGCCGGCAGGGCTAGACCAGAGGCTGATGACATGGGAGACGGTGCAGAAAGAGAACTACCTGGCCAAACTGGAGCGCCAGCACTGGGAGAGCAGTGAGGAGAGACTCAAGAGTACTTCCTCAAAGTAATTATTTATAAAAATTGCTAACCTGTCATATAGTTGGATTATGAGAAGATATAATCTTTTTAGCAAACAAGCTCTGATAGACCCACTGGACACTACCTGCCCTGCCCCAAACTGTTGCTTGTTTTAAAGCTCTTCTGCACCCTAGTGGTAAAAGATGAATTTTTGCAGCATTGATGGTGGATGAAGATGGTTTAACTGATTGTTGTTGGTGACCAAGGGTTCAGAGCTTGCTGAGGATTGTTGGTGGCTTCAAGGACCAAGAGAAACGGCTGGCATCCATGGAGGCTCAGGTAAACCTGAAAAAGTGACATCAACGGCACCATTTGACACATATTCAGGTTGCGTTTTCCTAAACCTATTTCACCTATTCTATTTGCATAAGCCTCAAGTCATGTCTGGCTTTGTCTCAAGGTCAGATATTGTGGAGAGGTGTTGTCCTGGATGGCAGAGTGCTTTGCTCAAAGCACACTCAAGTGTGGGAAAGAAGCTCCAAGAGCTCCAAGTGAGTCAAAAAACAGGAAACAGGAAATACTGCCTCATAATTAATGACAACAGACAAAAATAATATTCTAACACAGTAAAATACTGTGCACTACTGTGTGTGTTTTGATCTAATTTAATATTAATATGGAATGACATTTCAGCATCTCTAACAGGCTCAAAGGCAAGCACCACCAAGGACGCACCTCAAAGTCAAACAGAGAAAGAAGTCAAAAAAGAAGGGGGGCAAGCCAGACCAGGACACCCAGGATACGGAGCTAACAAAAGATTTCCTTACATTGATGAATAAAAGTGATATTAGTAACTGGTAGCACCTAGACAGCTAATTACGATTCTGATTTTAGAATATTTTGATGATGGTGTGACTCGGGGAAAGGGGAGATTGATTTGGTTTGGACTTTAAATTAATAAAATGATGTCAGATGTATTCAAAGATGTCTTTGGTTTTTGAAAGCTGTTGCAGAAAGGTTTATTATACATCTATATCTATATTAAGATCTATATATCTTTGTATATATCAGACCTATTTTAGTAGAGGATATGTGTATTGCTCTTAAAGCTATTGACCCAAAATAGTCATCAGGACCAGACAACCTAGAGAGCCTTTCTTATTAACAAATTCAATCCCCAAAGTATGGAAAGAAGCCTATGTGCTTTGCTTGTTAAAGGGTGGAAACCCTTTGGATCTTAACAATTATAAGCCAATTTCTAAGCTTTCTATTCTTGCTAAAATAAGTAAACTGTCAATTAAAACAATATTTGGCAGATCACAACATTCTAACTGATTTACAGTCCGGCACAGTTAAATTAAATGACATTGTTAATACTTTGGACAAAAAACAACACTGTGCTGCCTTATTTATTGATCTGTCCAAAGCATTTGACTCTGTTGATCATGAGCTACTGCTAATAGATTAAATATTATTGGAATAGGAAACACAGCTATAAATTGGTTCTGATCTTACAGAGTGAACACAATGTGTTTCTATAGACGGTCTTAAATCAGACCTTATAGAGATTTCCAAGGGTGTTCCCCCAAGGTTCAATTTGAACTCCTATTTTATTTTCTATATTTATAAATAATGGACTTGCAAACTGCTGAAATGCATCTTTATGCAGATGACACAGTTATATATAGTTGCCCCTTCACTGAACCGAGCCATACATGAGCTTCAGTTAGGTTTTCAACAGCTTCAAGTCTCACTAAATGGACACGTTAATGCTAAGAAAACTAACTTTATGATGTTTTTGAGGGCTCGTTTCCAATTCCCACACTTTAGATGACAAGCTTTTTACTTTAGATAATGCTTATTTTAACATGATAGCCAGAAAAAAAAAAAACTTGTGCACGCTACCTTTTTAAATGTTTTGGCCTATGGTGAAGTTGTCCACATGAATGCTGCCTCTAGTATTCTCGTCCTTTTGGATTCTGTGTACCATAGTACTCTACATTCTATTACTAACTCTGATTCCTGTACGCTTTATGATCTGGTAGCCTGGCCATCACTAAGTCTACGTATAGAACTTAATTTGCATATTTTTCTATACAAGGCCATTTTGGGTAAACTACTGGCATATTTATGTAATCTCCTGAAGCAGAATTCTAGCAGTTTTCATCTCTGTTCCACAAGGTGGCAAAGGATTTTACTGAGCTGGAGAAAAAAGCCTTCTCTTACTTTGCACCCTGGTCTTGGAATAACTTGCAAAACTTGATCTAGTCCCACTAAATTATTTAATGCCATGTAACTGAGAAATGTAACTGCCTACCTGGATTAGTCCCTTTCTTTTATACGGAATGTTTGTTTTTTTTTTGATTATGTTTTATTTAAATTTTAACTAGTGTGCCGTCTTCGCCAGGTGTCTCTCATAAAAGATATTTCAATCTCTTATTTTTAACTAAATAAATAAAAATCTTAACTTAAAAAATATATGTAAAGAGACAAAACATACAAATAACCTTCCCTCATAATGTATTAATGTATGGTCCAAGTCAGTAGAAGATGTTATGTTAAATGTTATGACACTACAGTGGCTGCGACTTCAAGTAAGCTTACCTTTAATTTAAGGCTATTATCATGAATATTAGATCATTTTGTAAAACTCATGGCAAACAACCCATCCAATTATTAAAATTAACAGTAATTATTGTTTATAAAGTCAAATCCCTTTGAATGACAAAACAAGTCAATGTTTCAGATGGAGAAACAAGACTATATCAAAACAAAAAAATAAAATATATAAATTACATAATGTAAAAGGCTTAACAGGCAGCATATTGTTAAAGACATTGACCCATGATGTTGGAATTGTCTACTGTCTACTCTTGAAATACTTTTCTAGGTCACATTAGGAAGGAACTTGTGTAAATGGCACCATAAACTCTGCCAAAAGCAAATTTTGCAACTTAGTGACAAATCTACTAAGCTGTAATGCATAATGAAAAAATCTACAGTGGTGAAACCGAAAATCCTGAAAAGGGTGTTATCATTTTCGGCTAATTATGTCACAGTGATGCCCTAAGAACAGTCAAAGGTAATGAAGCATGAAATGCTGAATTTGGAGAGCACATGACTGAGTTTTGCTTTTCCTATTCCTTAAAGGTACCCTGTGGAGTTTTGGTGTAAACACAGTTTCAGTTTACAGTCAGTGTTTCTCATCAATGTACACTGAATGCATCCTTGAGGTCCAACAAATATGTGTTGAATGCATTTTCCTGTCCATAAAACACTTGCAAAGCAGACGTTTGAATATTCTGAAAAATGTATTTTTTCCATATATCTATACATACATGAATCAGTAGTCTTCTTTGTCACCTTTTGCTGTAACATGGCAAAGTTGCTTGCGATGTTAAAGCCACCAACCATCCAGTGTAATACCATGAAACCACAAGTCGTCTTATATCCCTTTTTTGTTTGATGGACATGGACAGACTGGTTTCTTTGGTCTGACTGCTGCTTCACCATCTTCAGTTGACATGATACGCCTCTTCATCCATAAATATATTAAGTAAATTGAATACTGTGTTCCAAGCTAGCATCCCATTCATTCCAATGAAAGTTGCTCACCTTGAGCATTTACAGAAAAAAAGTTCTTCAGGTTTCCATATTTTTGGATCCATTGCACTTTCACATTAGAATCCTTGTTGGCTGAAAAATAATAAAATGTTCAACGAGTCTTATTTTTGTTGGACCAAGGTATCAAAATGTGATCATAAGAGCCATTTAAGAGTGTTTGCGGCATCTTGTTGCAATTCCAACTGTGCCCACTATAACAACCCCCCCCCCAGCACTGTTCCTGGGGGGATAGTTTTACCCGTTATCCTTTTGTTTATTTTTTAATGCCTTGTATGCACTACTAATTTGCGTTTCCACCCTCTGCGTTCAAAAATACAATGGGGACCTGCTTATCAAACATTGCTTCATAGCACTACTAGTGGTCAAAAACTCCACAGGGTATCTTCAACATTCAGTGCCGTCTCCAACCACCACAACAAGAGAGTAAAGCCTTGGAGTAATATTCAGTCTGCACGCAGCAAGTGCACATCTTGAACTTGACATATTTGGCTGATAAAACATTGCTGACTACACAATTTGAAATTACGAGGCTTTCTGAATGTTGGTACCATGTGGGTGGATAGACATATCAATATGAATTAATAAAAGATGATTGTACTGAAACAAAAGTTACATTGACATTAAAAAGTTGGTAAACAAATAAATACCAGCAAACTTGCCAATTATCAATTTTCCTCCTCCTGATGTCCATCAACTAAAATTAACTAAGCAGTATTTAAACACTGAGACGTACTGACACCTCGGCATGTTCACGATCCCATAGATATGAGTTTGACCTTAGTCCCTCGAAACTGAGGCCTCTGGTCCTCTAGGCTGCACTGTTGGTCCCTCACGGTGAAGCATATTGTCAAAACGTGGTGTCACCTCACAGCGTATAAGCATAGTATCATCTTTAACAAAAGCTCTCTGACTCAGCTGTTGCAGGTGCAGAAAGGTGACGTAGCCGAATCCTTTCGGGTTGCGCTGGATCGTGGGTTTCTGGAAGGCTTGCAGGTCTGGTTTAGTCTCCATGACCTCGATGTGGTGCTGACCCTCAGGGCCCTGGTCTAGAATGGCAAGGCGAATGGTGCCCTGGAAGGGCCATGTCAGCTGCCCATCAAAAACTCCTTGCATGGTGTGAACAAAGAGGGAGATATAGTTGGAGCAGCGCGGGGCACTAGGGGTCTGCAGGTGGAGGCGCAGACACAGCTTGTAGCCTGGACGACCAGTGTAGAAGCCGGGGCTGTGCTCAACCACTGGGTGGCCTGCTTCTTGGTTCCGTAGGTGGACAGAGAAACCTTTGAGGCGCCAGATGAAGATACCGTGACACTGCTGGGCCTCCAGCTCCTTCACTGTCTCCTCCAGTATTGACACTCTACGCCTGAGCTCTGCAAGCTGGCCAGCCTGTGGAAGAGGTGGGGGAATGTCTTAAAATAACAAAGGCTTACTTTGTCCATCTATGTTTACAGAGGATGCGTTCAGGCACAGCAATAAGTGTAGGTCACTTATGTTTTGACAGTCCTCAGAGCCCAATACACAATTGCTGCAGCTATGCATGTAAAATTAAGAAAACAGACTTGGAACATGAGCCTTTACGCCTATTGGAACTTTAATTAAATTTCTGCGCTGCATCTGATACTGACAACAACTGTGATCATAGATTCTGTGATTACACAAACAATCCATATGCACGTATTAGTACCTTCAAGCTCAAGGACATCCTTTACCTGTGTGTCTTTTAAGATAATGAGCTCACGCAGCTGGTGATCCTGCTTTACCAGTCGTCCATCCATCTCCCTGAGCCTCTGCATCTCTGCGGTAGGCTGACATGGGGCACAGTTGCTGGTGCAGCTTACAGCTCCTCTGGGTCCACTACAGGGTGATACTGATGCTGCAGCTCCTTGATCCTCAGAGGAAACAGAAGGCCCCAAAGTCCACAGAGATTTGGGTGCGGTGCCATTGAGGCTAAGGCCACGCAGGAACTCGGCTAAGTAGCGCATATGCATCTGTGTGAACTCCTGCATGTGCTGAGCCAGGTCGTGGCGCTGCATCTGCAGAGGCAACAATTTTTCTTTGTGACATCTGGTCTGCAGGGCTGATAGCACTAATAATTGTGTAATAAACCAAGTTCTCAAGGAGTGTTCTTTCAACAGTGTGTAGATGATCTGTAACACACAGAAACTGCACACGATCACTTACCCTTTCCTTACATCCAAAGGTACTAAAGTTACAGGCGATGGGTGCTTTTGGGCAATCTGTATCACAATGAGATTCCATCTGAAACAAAAACACCTTCAGCTTAGCGTCATTTAAATCTATGAATTCACATTACGATTTGAAACAAGAATTTTAACATGTCAGTTATTACTGTATAATTGAGGACAAACGTAATGAGGTAACTTGGAAATAAGTCGCTTCCTATCTCATACAGGAAACCATTTGATACTGCAGAAATGCTGGGTGCCTACATCTACTGTGACATGTGCTGCGGAATGTGGAGAATGGTTCCCCATTGCTTGAACAAAAGAGAAGTTCTTGTTGACAGATGGCAGCTTAAATGAATGACAACATTTTGATTTATGAGAGGCCTTTTTTCATGGCAGAGATCACTCACCTGGTCTCTGATGAGATCCATCTCACAGTACAGGCACTTTACATTGGCAAAGGGACACTGCTGTTCATGAAGCTGAAGGAGCAACCAAAAAGAAATTGTAAGGAGGCTAGTCCTCACTGATACAGAGCGACTTTCCTATAACTGGGTTCTGGGAAAAAAAGCAAGAGGAGCAATTACGTAAGTGAGTAATTACCTCTTTCTCTTCATAAACAAAGCGTGCCACACAATCTGGACATGACACAGGTCTCCTTTGGCACTCAACAGTTATGTGCTCCTCTAGGTGGCTCTTTCTCACAGACTGTTGGCATTGTGGGCAAGGTGCAGTGGCAAACTGACAATGTGCCAAATGATTCTGGTAGGAAAACAATACATAAAGAGAATGCAATTAATTATATTCTATAGGACAGCAGTGGTTCACATTTAATATTTCACTGTTCACACCACAAAAAAAAAAAAAAAAAAAAAAACACCATTCTTTAACTGACACCTAATGCACTTTTATATGCCAAAATAAGGATACATCAGTGTTTCCCACAGGATTTTAAAAGACTATGGTGGGTGGACCTCGGAACTTCTCGGGGGGTATGGGGGCATGCCCCCCCTGGAAGAACATTTTGTACATTTTAAAGTTAAATGCATTCATTGGGTGCAAAATTAAGATGCTATCTATGAAGAACTTTGCACTCTTGTGAACAATCTTGTGCTCTAGCAAGTAACTATTTATTCATAAACCCATTGTATAGCTATAAAATGGTAATGAAACAGCAACAAAAGTCAACAAATGTATTCCAGCAACCCTAAATCAAAGAACAGAAAATAATAAAATTTTATTGTTGTTTTTTTTACTTTTAATGGACACATGTAATGTTTTATATTTTCTATGAGTATGATATAATCCAATTAATCTTATTTTCATACTGTATAGACACCTTATTTTGAAAACCTGATGTTGTCACGTGCATCCTCCTCGCGCCAAATTCATCAAGTCCGACCCAATTTGATAATCTATGTTGTCTGTGGTTCTCGTATCTCGTAAAATGAAGACTTCACAGCATCTCTTCAAGTAGGACTCTCATACTGCGACACTTGTCTTTTTGTAAAGAGTCAATAATCTGCCTGTCAGCTCGGTCCGTTTCAGTGGATTTACCATAAAGGCTGGAATACGTGTGCACTCCAAATTTGGGCGTGGGTAGCTTGAACGCCTTCTCACAAACGAGTGACAGAAGCAGACCGTTAACGTTACCGTAGTGGTTGTCTCAAGTCGGATGTGCTCAGTGTGTGAGTGTGCGAGCTTACAGCAGCGGCGCAAAACACAACGTTAGAGGTCTGAAACGTTATTATGAGATATGTAAAGCTATTTTCGGTCCATTTTCAGACTATGGCGGAGCAAATTAGACTATGGCGGGCCGCCATGGTCACGTTAATTAATGGGAAATACTGTGCATTATTCCTTAGTGTACTGTAGTGAATTACCATTAGCATTCTAGCATGTGCAGATGTGTTCCTCATAACTAACCTTCCTTACTGACTGTTGATTCGAGAACATTTTAGAACAGTCAGAAGGAAGAGCGTGTGCTGACTCTTACTTCTTGCCAGATTATCATTTTTTTGAGTACTGAAACTATAATACAATCTGAAGATGAACTAGCACACTCAAGCATAAAATACACACTTGTCCTGTTTGACCTGTCCTTGTTAAGTTTCCTGTTTCCATGTTCTTGGTTGAGCTCCCACTCTTAGAATGGCTCTCACCTCTAAATGTCGGAGCTCCATTTTCTCAGCACAGCCACGGTTTGGACAGCGAACAGTTAGTGACAGAATCTCTCGTTTGGCAAAGTTATCCGGAAACAACTGGTCTTCTGACAGCATTTCATTGTCCACCGGGCACTTTTGCCCTGTATCACTGTGTTGTAAGAGTAAGAACAGCAATACTTTAGGCTGAGCTAAGATGATCAGGTTTTGCATGGTGCTTACATCTGAGCGGGAAAACTATTGTCAGTGAAAATGTTGCATTATTTAAACACAATATTCATTTTTAATTGACTACTCAGTAATTTCACAGATGTTCTATTGCTAATAAAGAATTAACAGCTCTTCAACAATGTTCCATGAATCTGGTGTTACCAAATGCATTATAAACCTGAGTAATGTTTAATGTTATCTAGAGAGACTAACAATAGCATACCGAATGGACTTCTCAATGCAGTTCTTGCAGAAACGGTGACCACAGGGTGTTTGAATGGCATTCCTCAGAGCCATGAGGCAGATAGGGCACTCATATTTACTTTCTAGGGGTGGGTCAAACTCCACATCATAGCCCTGGATGGGGACAGCAGGCTGAAGACTAGTGGAGGTGCTGCTGATGAACGTGCCAGGGCTCTCTGAAGGGCTGAGTAGGGATTCCCGTTCCTTTTCCAGCATTGCCAATGCACAGCTAGATAGCTCTCCACCGACAGCTCCTTCATAGCTGTCCTCCTCCAAACTGCCCTTATTGCTATCAAAGCAAGCCATCTGTGTAGAGTGGGACAGAGTTGGCATTAAAACAGTGAAAGTGGCAAAAAAAGCATTATATTGTAAATAATATATTCATTATTTTAGTTAACATCGCCGATTATCTCCTTTCTTAAAGTGTGGGGTCACCACTTCAGCAATAACATTGAAGAAAGTTCTGCAAAGACTTTTCCAGCTGAAAAGGTATCCCATATTTACGCGCTGGTATTGAGCGCATCCTCACGTTGCAATAGCTGTGGTATGGCAACACCTTCGGAAATGTCTCGACATAGAGATGCAAACTGAATCAAAAATCACAGCACAGGGGCTACCTACCATCCCTTGCTGAAATCTACATGGTTAGGCTACAGACAAGGGGACACAAGCTTCTACAGGACTCATTTCACTCTACTAAGCATCTTTTTAAAAAATTTTAATGTCCTCCCTTCTTTCAAAAGACAAAGAGAAAAAATAACAGTGGCGCAGTGGTTAGCACTGTCGCTTCACAACAAGAAGGTCGTGGGTTCAAACCCTGGTGGAGCATGTTCTCCCTGTGTCTGTCTCTCTGCTCCGGCTTCCTCCCACCGTCCAAAGACATAATTGGTGACCCTTAGATGAACAACCACTCACGCTCACACCTATGTGTGGCCCTGCGATGGACTGGCGACTGGCGACCTGTCTAGGGTGTACCCCGCCTTTCGCCCGATGGCAGCTGGGATGGACTCCAGCCCCCCTGCAGGATAAGCGGTTGACGATGGATGGAGGTTTTATTGTTGACTATAAATAAAATGTTATTTTTAGCTTTTTAGTTGTTTTAAATCTCAGTGATGGGATGTGAGGTTTCTGTTCTGCGTTTTTGTTGCGAGGTAGGCAAAGCTAAATCCTATCAACTAACTCAGTATTAAATCTTGAATCCTGAATCTTGAACTTGAGTTGAATAGTTTTTGGCCATGGTACCTGCTTATGTGAAGAAATACACTGTGGATTTGAAGCTTAATACACAAAATAATATTAACACAATTACAGTGCGGCTGTATTTATTAAGTGACAGTATAGCTCTAGTTGTGTACATAGAAACTACATTTATTAGAAGTTACTCATACTGTTATCAAGTGACTTAAGACTAGACAGGCAAAATATGTAGTGGATGTGCAGAAACTAACACCTCTAATTTACTCCACAAACTAACTTATAAATTTGACTAACTAAGTGGCGCTGTAACGTAAAATGAGGTATCGTAAAAAAGCTAAGTTAGCGGTTCGCGTTACACGGGAAGTAACTCAAGTCATTCGTTTTCATAATTAACTTAGCTTCACTCAACAACGTCCTAAATGACGTGGTAATGTTACACTAACACTGAGAAGCTGTCACAAATGATTCAATGATGCATACATAATAGATAAACTTAATTAATAACGATAAATTGTGTTGTCACTTGATAGATGGAAGAGTCATGCCCTTGGATGCGGAACTGCACTTTGCTAACTTAACGTTACCATGACTGTACTAAAAAGCGATTGAAAAAAAGATACTGTCGAAAACAGTAGGTAGCAAACACACGTCCTCTCCAGCAACAAAGACATTAAAGTACTGACTATGTCTGTGAACGCATATACAGTATGTTTATATTGTACCCACCTTTGCCTTGAAAACGTCTCGAACTTTTCTTTTCTAAGAATTTCCTGTTTTTATCTTCTTCTTCTTCTTTTGTGGTTTTTATGGCGGATGGAAACCAAAATGTTGCATTACCGCCACCTACTGAAACATTTTGTTTTTCCAGTGCCCACCAAAAGTACTCGTATTCAAGGCATTGTCCGTTCAGTGACTCAGAGTCAGTTGTCTGAGTTGGTGGAAATCCTTCCCTCGGCGTCGGGACAATTTCTTCTCCTGATATGTCTGCGGTGTTCAAGAATCTCCTTGCCGCATCCAACACCTGTTTTTGTCTGTGGAGTTTTTGCCTGGCGCGGACGTGAGCGCTACCGCCTGGCCGGAGGCTGCTTACTGTCGCCACAGAGCAAATTGAGACGGAAAAAATGGCGGACCTCAGGAAAATCTGTTCTGAGTCTTTGCCTTGCCGTGTCAACAATTCACGAAAATCGGCAGTTCAGGGGAAGCTGTTCATCCTTCTTTGCATACTGATAGTGGACTCCGGAGGAGCTACGACCCATTGGGTTGTCACTGAGGATGGAAAAATTCAACAACAAGTATGACAGTTAGCTCATTGACCTGCTGACGCTTACATTAGGTGGCTAGCTTGTAAAGCTATTTTTGTTAGCATTAAGGGTAACGTTTTAGTGGTTTGTTAACGTAATTTTAGTACTTTAACAAGACTCTTTACTCAATACTTTGCCAGCTTGGGTGGCCTTGACTTACATATGTCGAGAAAGTTACATTCAAGTCCGTTTTGTTTGGCTAAGGCGAGTTAGCATAACGTTACACTAGCTGTACCTTATCTGGCGTTATCGTTAACGTTAGGTGTTCAAGATCAAGATTACTAAAGTATTTCATGTCAACGTATGCGTTGGAAATCGCTTATTAATATGCTGGAGATAACTTTAATATTGGCCAATAAAAACATACAGCAAACTGCTTTCTCCATTTAAAGAGAAAGGCCGTGTTTGTGTGACACTTGCTTTGGGGCTCTCTGAGTTTGCACAACTCATAACGTTAGACATTTATTAATTTAGCTGACGGCTTTTCCCAAAGTGACATACACTTGCTATCAGAATCAAAGTTTATTGCAGGGTATACATACGAGGAATTTGACTCTGGATTGTACATTGCTCACAATGTGCTTACTAATAAACTTAATAATAAAATCTAACACAGGCCTCTGACTATACGTGTCAGAGGTTGCACTGGAGCAACCGGGGGTTAAGTGTCCCGCTCAGGGACACATTGGTGGATGATAGATCACAGTTGAACCTGCGTCTCTCACACCAAAGAAGTGTCTTGTCCTCTGCTCCGTCGCCACGACTCTATAAAGTCTTGTCAGACTTGTTTCTAACACGACTCAACAGAACTTGAAAATACTGTTGATGGATCTGCTGGTTGAATCTCTTTCGCACACACGGGGACTGACGTGAATATGCTCACTGTATGTTGGTCCTTACCGCACTGTTTTTGTTTCAGGTTGACTCACCTTTGAATCTGAAGCATCCACATGATGTTGTAATCTTCATGAGGCAAGAGACTCGTGTTAACTACCTCAAGAAGTTGGAGGTGTGTGGTTTTCACTTTATCAATGTTGTCACATGTAAAGATGTGGTCAAAGTGTTTTTCTCTTTGAGTTGTCATTCTGGTTAATCTCTCCAACAACAAAGTGTATTGCTTTCAGGTTCTGTACTTTTAATGTGAATACTTTATTTCACAACTACATTCATTGCTTGGCATTATTCAGTTGTCCATTTCTTACTAGTCCTCACTGATTGATTGGTCCTTGGTTATTGTTGAGCAGAAGCAGCTAGTGGCACAGAAGATTCACATAGAGGAGAACGAGGACAGAGACACAGGGCTGGAACAGAGACACTACAAGGAGGATGCAGACTGTGTCATGGCTAAGGTACCTCTGGGAGACCTGGACCTGTATGATGGCACTTATATCTCCTTGGAAAGCAAAGACATTAGGTAAGCTCTCCTCAATAAAACACGTCATTGCCACTGTTTATCTGTACATTGTTTTCATAAAGTGCTATGGCATTGTTTAAATTATGCATAGCCAAATCAAGGGAGTATAGTTTGACAAGATGAGTGTGTCTAGTTTCTTATGATTGATGATTATGATAATATTGTCATCTTAAAGTGATTTTTTTCCCCCCCTTCTTTTCCCGTAGCCCTGAAGATTATGTAGATTCCCGGTCATCTCTGCCCCCAGATCTAGAAAAGCCTGACTGTGTGAAAGTTTTTGAACTACCATATAGCATCCATGCTTTCCAGCATCTCAGGGTGAGCAGAGGCCAAACTTGTCAATATTTTATTCACAATGGAAGAAGATAGGAATGATTCATGTTAATGAGTAAGTGGTGTGAGGGGGGATGCAGTCGAGGTATGCTGTAACTCTGTATAAAAGTACTCTCCATTCAAATGTATGTTACTGGAAACATTTATTGTTCAAATAAGAATTCAACATTTTTTATTAATCAAATGTAAGTGATATGCTGGGAATGTATTTAACCTTTAGTTTGGCAGAGGTGACTTGTTGTTTATAGCAATGCTCTGTTTACAGTTTCCCTAGAAAACTTTTTGAATTTTGTAAGAACAAATACAGAAGACAATAATATACAACCAGAATATGGGTTTACTTAAAGCAGTTATAGGCAGATGATTATTAATAATAGTCTTGAAGTATTTAAGTGTTTGATTTGTTGGTGGCATTGCAGATATTTCCTATTAAGTATTACATTAACTGCAAAATCAGTCATATCTAGATCAGTTCTGGGACAGGGTTAGGGAAGCATGAGCTAGTTACTAGAGCAAAATAAGTAAGTACCAGAGTTCAGGAGCACCAAAGATCAGATATAAGGTGGACTTTTTCTGATAACGACTGTGCAGATATATGAATACCAAAGTTACCCAGACAGGGAAGCCCAGCCAAACGTATCAAATAAAAGATATTATTGAGTATTGCAAATATCTTCAGGATTGACTACAGCTGCAACGATTAATTGATTAGTTGATTGAAAGACAACTAATCAACTAATAACTGATACCTATTTTGATCATCACTTAATCATTTCAGTAATTTTTCAAGCAAAAGTGTCAAAACATTTGCTGGTTTCAGCTTCTTAAATGTAAGGAAATTAAGAGTCTCTGGGTTTTGGACTGTTGGTTGGACAAAAGAAGACATCACCTTGGGCTCTGGGAAATTGTGATGAGCTCTTTTCAGAATTTATTGACATTTTATAGACAAAACGATTAATCGTGAAAATAATCGTCAGATTAAGGTAATGAAAGTAAACGCTAGTTGCAGCCCTAGTAATGACCCAAAGAGCTTAATGGTAATTGCAATCTAAAGACCTAGACTGGGGGCAACTGGATGTCAATAAAAGACTTCAGTAATCTAGCAGTAAAAAGAAAACTACTTTTTCAGTCCTCTTCTTACAGCTCAGAGGAACGCTGGTTTTGTTTCTCTACAAAAGGCCAAGCATTTGTTTCAGTTTATCAACATGATTGTTTATTTCATATTTTATCATAAAGCTTTCATCTGCCAGGATATCAAGACATTCATCTTCTGTGATCCTTTTAGCAATACAAATGCAAATCACTGTAATCTGTGTCTCTGGATCTCAAGAACAACTTGATTTTATCTTAGGGCTGCATTCAAGTCCAACAACAATTTTATAAATGTGGCCTGTGGGAAAGGATTAAAGAACAGTGGTGTTTTTGTTTGCAAGTAAACATAAGTTAATATTTGCTTACAGTCAGATGAGTTAATCCAGATCATGCTGCCACATTTCGTTTAGTCATCCATTTATTGTCTTTACTTTCTTTATCAGGTTAATAGTCCAGTGGATGGTCACCGGCACATCATATTTATTTGTATATAGTTGTAGGGACATTTAACGTGTGTGCTTTGGAAATTGGTATGCTGTTTATGTAGTTGTAAAACACTTGAGAATTTCAGTTAGACCTGCTGTCAGGTCAGATAATTTCTGCACTGCTTATTTTAAATACAACAGAGATGTAGCCTTTGCATTTGACTGATCACATGTTAAAATTCCAAGTAATAGACTCTTCCCTTCTGTCCCTTCCAGGGTGTGCAGGAGAGGGCAAACTTGACTTCCCCGTTGCTTTCTAAGGAGGATCCCATTTTTAGTTCATTGTCTCATAAGATGGGCCGCAGTGTTGATGAGGTTGGCCATCGCATACATCAAGGGTTACTGAGGGTAAGGTCTGCCTCCATAACTATGCCTTACTAACTGTGCAAATATTCAAGACATTTGTTTTTCCTTTGCAGATATTGGGGGAAAAAGCATGGGATGTGTGTAGAAAAAACATAATGGATTCAGAAGAAGCCTTTTTCTATAGAAATGGTAAAGCATGGAAAACACAGAATATCTGCTAATTGGTTGCTTGACCTGCATTTTTAGGATTTTTTTTGTGCATGCGTCTAGTCTGTGTGTTTATATGCTTTCCTTTCAGTCAGCATCAGAAAATCCGTTTTTTAAGATGAGTTAATGACAGCAAGATATTGAAGCAATAGTTGTTTTCAGTACAATTCCAAACACATTAAGCGTTATCAGCAAATTGGTCCAATTAGGCATGTGAAGAAGATCCATTGTAAAATTCAGCAAAACATGTACATGAGGCCTAACAGTTAGCAGTGTTTCGAGGAAGATACAAAAAAAGAGTTCGTGTGCATGTCCTCATGATTTTGTGTTCCAGAACTCATCATCCTGGGTGCTGTACAACATGGCGTCATTTTACTGGCGAATGAAGAACGAGCCTCAGAGGGCAGTGGACTGTGTGGTGCGTGCTCTGCATTTCTCCCCAAGGTACTGTCAGGCTGGTTAGAAGGCCACTGCCATAGTATACTGTTTATTGAATGTGACTACTCACAGGTGTTCACATTCTCATATTCTGTGTGTGCGTTGTACTTTCAGGCAGCAGAAGGATGTAGCCCTGGTCAACATGGCTAACATCCTGCACCGCGCCCATTTCTCAGCAGATGCTGCGATTCTTGCCCACGCTGCCCTTGACCTTACCTCAGATCTCTTCACCAGCCACTACACCTTAGGCAACATTTACGCTGTACGTTAGAGACAAAA